CCCAAGTAGCTGGGACTACAGGCACCCACCACAACACCTGCCTAGTTTTTTGATTTTTTTTTTAGTAGAGATGGGGTCTGGCTCTTGTTTAGTCTGGTCCAGAACTCCTGAGCTTAAGGAATCCACCCTCCTTAGCCTCCCAAAGTTCTGGGATTACAGGTGTGAGCTACCTCATCCAGCCTTCAAGAATGGTTTTGATTTCCTTCCATGCCAGCTATTAGGGAGAAGCAAATTCCTGGTAACTGTTATCCAGGTGGAAGTAAGGTCGCGCACCTGCCTCCCGCCAAGGCCAGCTGCCTCTCTCCTTCCCTCCTCTACTTCTCTGCTCTCTCTCTGTACACATGGAAGAAGGGCTGCCAGGCGTTGCCTATTTGGAAAAGTACAGCCCAATAGGTATGAATCAGCTTGAGCAGGCGAAAAATGATTCACATCTGACCAGCTTGATTTACTTCAGGTCGCCTGTTCAGAGTCTTTTTCTCCTTTGTAATTAAGTGATGATTGGTCTTGATGATGGAAAGGAAGGGACAGAATTTAATCTGTTTGTATCTGCAGAAGGCTGGAAACAGGATGGATAAAGGGGAGATGTTTTTCTGTTTGGCAAATAACTGATGCAGAGGTACAGTGGCCGTGGTGTTGGGGGTGCCAGCACTGGGGGCCTGCTGAGTGAGGGAAGGGGCCTGGGTGCTATGAGCAGCTGTGTGATTGAAGTTAACTCAGTGGAGGGTCCAAGTGTAGAGAGCAGAACAGAGGCCACCTGAAGGTCCTGTCTGGGGCTGCTAACCTTTTTTAAATTTAAAAGAGGATGATGGGCAGAAAGGGAGGAAAACCTGCAGACAGATGGTTCAGAACTGTGTCTTTCCTGCGTTCCCATCTGAAAGCGGTGGCTAAGGATGTGCACTCCTGACCTGGCTCCAAGGAACACACAGGACTGAAGCTAGGTTAACCCACCGGACACAGCTCTTGAATCATTGGGCACTGTGCTTGGTTACAGTTAGGGCTGGGGAGGTTAAAACTCTCCGCTCCTCATTCTGTCGTCACTTGGGGTCAGGCCGGCTGCTGCTGTTGCAAATTTCCGCAAGTATATCTCCGGTCTGGGCTGTTTTGCCAAAGCCCTTGTGTTCCTGTGTCTTGTAGCAGTTTCACTCCTCCAGCCCTTGGGCAGGGGAACCTGAGAACTCCACGTTTCCTGTCCCTCGCCTAGTGACGCGTCATGCCACTGCCTTACTCACAAGCACGCACTATGTACTGTACTAGGTTATGACATCTGCGGTTGATTGCACCAGGCAGTGTCTCATGTGGTCCTGTCAGCAACCTGCAGAGGTGATTGGTAATGTCCCCAAATGAAGACTTTACTGATGAGGAGATGGAAGCCCAGTGAAGCAAGGTGCCTAAATTCACAGCTGTGAGTTAAGGGCCAGAGTTAGGACTTCAGAGCCCACATTCCTTCCAGTAAACAGCAATGGTAAACAGGACTTAGTCAACGACAGACCTCCACTGAGGCCTTGGTGAGCTTTTGCTGGGGCCAAGGCTTCATGTGCCACCACGGTTGGGACAGTCCTCGCCTCTCCTCAGTCTGCATGATTCTGCTGCAGTCTCCTGGTTATTACCAAGGCAGAGACATAAAACAGGCAAATGGGCTCGGCGCCTGTGGCTCAAGTGGCTAAGGCGCCAGCCACATACACCTAAGGTGGCGGGTTCGAAT